CAAGGGGGCTGGGCTACACACTGGCAGAGATACCTGGCAAGGAAGGTGTGTCCACATGCAGATGTGACCATAAAAGTATCTTTACCTGCTGCAATTTGCAGATGTTTTAGCAGCAACTGGGCTTTGACTGGGACTCTAATTGAGTTCTAGTTCAGTGGTTCCTTGGGGAAGCAATGGGAGGAGTATTTAAACATCCAATGTCCACATCCCATCCCAGAACATAATCAACTTTTCTGAATGGGATCATGGGATTGCCATGTGCAGCCAGGCTCCCCAGTGATGCCGTGTACAGCCAAGCGTGAGACTAGAGTTCAGATGAGCCTGACCTGGTCTCGAGGGAGCCAGAGCCTCAGCTGATGTCACAGTGGCCTGAGCACATCTGACTTGACCCCATAAGCCTCAGGTGACAGGATTTGGAAGTGACCCACTTGGCATCTCAGGGCCAAGGGTGAGAGTGGGTATGGGTTATTAAAGGAATGACTGTTCCCTATTTGAGTCACCATTTTGTTCATGGCTTCTCAGTTTTGTGTGTTCGAGCAATGAACTCAGACAGCACAGCAGAGTATAAGTAGTAGGAAGATGCTCCCTACTCTCCCTGCCGTGTCCCCTGCTCTGGCTTTGCAGGGTGCTGGCCTTGGGGCTACTGGAGTGGATCGTCTTCCTGGGCCTCATCTCTGCAGCTTCACCCTGGAGTTATGGGACAGGGCTGGCAATTTGCTCTCTCTGCATCTTTCAGGGAGGCTTGTGGCCTAGTCCGAGGTCACTCCCGCCAGCAGTCATAAGCCAGCTCCCCTCTCTCTCACAGTATCAAGGGTGGCAACATCCCAAGCCTCTAAGTCCTTAAAAAACCACCAAGGCAGAGGAAAAAAAAAAAAAAACAGGCAAAATCAATAGTTTTCTATTGAACTATTAACTAGTCTATCAGCAAAGACTAGAGGTACAATACTTGGAAATATTCCTGACCAAAATATAAAATATCCAGGATTAAATTTCACAGAAAATACAAAAGATGCATAAAATTTACTCTCTGAAGACCATCAGAAAAGCAGGAATGTATTGCAAGATGCATGGTATTCTAAAATGAAAGACTCAAATGTTCAATGTTGTCAATTTTTTTTCCTAAAAAAGCATATTTCTACTTATTGAACCTGAGAAAACAGTTTCATTTGGAGGAACAAATACATTCAGAAAACAAAATTTTGGGGGAATAAAGAATAAACAGAATGGAGAATGGTTCTTACTTAAAAGACATAAAAATATTGTATTTAAAATGGAGTATTTAAAAAAAAATGGAAAAGCACAAGGCAGATTGAGGACTGAGATACTGAAACTGACCTATGGTTATGGAAACTTGCTGTGGGCTGTCAACTGGAGCGGCTCTGGGAGGTCTCTTGTGGAGGCTAAGGCCACTCCATTTTGGATGCCAATGCTGAGCCTCAGTTCCATCCATGCTTCTAAGATTTCTATTTCATCTGCTGTTTGCTGTAAATCCAGCCCTTAGGTAAATTCCTTCTGAAGCTCCTATACCCTTTCCCCTATGGCACAGAAGCCCAGGGTCTGGGGTAACGGGATGGGGATCCACTATCTTGCGGCCACGCAGGACATGGCTTCTGCTCGCAAGTCCGTTACAACTTTCTTTCTAAGAAACTAGACTTGTCAGCCTTTCTTTGGCCTCTCAGCTCCCTTGGACTTTGAGGGCAGGCGTGTGCAGGCTTGCCATCGAGGAACACCCTGCCAGCCTGACCGTCCTGGGGAGAGGGATCCTTCTGCAGAGGCTGGCTTCCTTCAGGGCAAGAATGCTAGGGAGCTCGGAAGCTGCTGGGCCCTTCCTGATCCCGCCCTGATGCTCACCAGCATCACAATGCAAGAGGTTTGTCAAAGCACCATGTTATAAAGCCACCAGTGTAGAACCAGATCAATGAAAAAGCCTCTCCAACTTACTGTTTATTCAGAGCCAGGCCCTGTAATGAATCTATTTATATGGATAACTGTAGGTGAAGTATATACTTAAACCAACTTTTAAAATAAATGTAAAAGTAACTCTTGCAGATGAAAGGTGCAAGGGCGAAGCCTCCTCTCCAGGATGTGCTGGTCACAGTAACCTCTGGGTCAGAGGGGGGGCTCCTGGCTCACTGGCCTCATGGGGGTCCAAGGGAGGCATTTACAGGCCTGATGACTGTGGAGGAGACACAGGGGTGGCACCAATCTGCTTCCCTGTCGGCTGTGGGCCATGGGGCCAACGGCTGGCGGGCAGGGAAGGGAGGAGACATACAGGGAGATTGGGGAGTCCTGTGTACAGCCCCCACCCCACCTCAACTTCCCCAGGGAAGAAGTGTGTCAGAAAAGGGACTGGGCTACACAGTCAGCTGTTCATTTCCACTGTGTGCCTGGATGGTCGTTGTCTGTGTCACAGGAGATCCTTTACCCAGGTAGAAAGCCAGGGGCACCTCCCTGCAGGGACCCTTTACCCCTGACCCCAACCACCACTTCTATCCCCCAATCCCCAACAGAAAGCTGAGTCACTAAGTCCGCCCACCCCCAGCAGGGTGAGGCCAGACTCATGTCTCCTCAGCTTATGGCCTCCTAGGCGTTGTTACACTTTCCTCACCCCAAATACCCTGTTAAAGCAAGTCAGGGTGGAGAGGAAATGGAAGCAGATGCTCCCCACTCTCCCCGCCGTGTCCCCTGCTCTGGCTTTGCAGGGACAGCATGTCCTTGGGGCTACTGGGGTGGATTTTCATCATTTCACCTTCAGTGTTCATGGCAGTGGCCAAAAGAGGGCGTCAGTGCAGCTTGGAGCTTGGAAGGTACCTGGGAGCCCTGCCCTAGCAGCACTGGCTGTGAGGGCTGCACCCCTGTCCTGAAATGGCAAAGGCAAGGACCATGCAGGGTGGGCTGTGTCCTAGGACTGTAGCCTCCTGCTTGTGGCAAAGATCCACTATTCTATAGGATGATGCTGACATGAAGGGAATGTTCTCTCTTAATCTTTGGAAAAAGAAGAGTCCACTGCATTGTCAGTCTCATTTGTGCTTTAACTTCATCCCTACCATGAAGCTGGACGTAACTTGTTTTAAATCCAAGTCCAGAGAAAGGGCTGGTGGCCACGAGCCTGTAAAACTCTCTGAGGACACAGCCTCCCAGTATGGATGACAGCAGGTGCTGCTTTCTCTGGGTGATCTTGCCGGTCTCTGGTCTGGTTGACATTTCTCCCGCTCAGTTACACACATAGGCTTTTTGGACTTTGTTTCCATGTAGGGGCCTAAGTCTCTTGGAAAGAAACACACATCGATCACTATCTATTTAGTGTCTAGGGGAATGATGAGAGCAGCTCAGTCCCTGGAGTCTGCTCAACTCTGCAAGCACAGATGGAACCTACGGCCTGGCGAGCTCCACCGAGGCCTGGCCTCTGCCTGTGGACACAGCCAGCCCCCTCCTCC